TTCTCTGTAATTCATGCGTTTTTTATCTTTTGTTGATGCTTAGCTCATGCGCGCACTACGTAAGTTTGCCGGGCAAACAGTCTAGACGGGGATAATTGGCGTAACAAATCACGGAAGCTCAAAGTCAGCCCCGCTACTGGGCAATACCTGTAAATGCTAAGGAGCATCGCGCACAAAGCTCCGCCATGGCTCAGCAGGGGGCACCCAGAGGGGGAGGGGGGGGCACAATCTGGGTGTGCCGTGAAAATGTCACGCAGGGCGCGCGTACGATAGAAGCACTGCACCAAAAAGGTGTAAACTAAAACGCTATATTTTTTGTATGAAAAGAAAAGAAAACACAAATGCACCATTATTTGCCTCCCGGGCATCAATTTGTCAATGCCACAGATGATTGCGGTTTTATGATTTCTCCGGCTCGAGCAAGGTGGGCTCGTTACTAACGTGGTAATGAGCCAACTGGGATTAAGTAACGTCCCTTCAATCGGCAGCCTATTCAATAAGTGTGCATAGGTCAACATTTCTCGTAGTTTGACAATTAGGGAAGCCAATTATAATTGTTTCTTTTATTTTGCATCCGGACTTCACCTGGCGATAGCAGTACAGTAGTTAACAGCCATTCAGTGAAGTAGTCAACAAGTTTTGATAGAAATGTTTAAAAACAAAGATAAAAAGACAAATATCTCCGTATATCCTTAACAGACTGCTGAGGCAAGTGCTGTTCGCGAGCACCGATGAAGGCTGGCACGGCACACGAGCAGGTGGGTGGCTAACACCATGCCTGGTCGCCTTCGTCTCCCCAGTGCTAATGTTTTCCCCCCACTCCACCAGTTGCCCATTCAAGACTGGGTCAACCCAAACGCTACTCAGTCAAGCATCTTAGCCACACTAAATAGGGTACTCGAGGGGAGTGTGCTAAAATCAACACGTTACGGAAACCATCTCATTATTACAGCCAAGGTAAGCCCTAATTATTTTTAGCGTTATTCTTGGACAACACGACGGTGTACGTTAATTATGTGGTTGCCCGCCAAAAAGTATTTAAAATTCCTTTTTTGGCTCTTGGTATTGAAAAATGGTCCACTCCGGAGCTAAAAGATTTGGTCAGGTAATTTGGCTTAAGGTTCCTCGCTTAATGAGGTGATGAATAATAAAGATCTGCATGTCTAATATGCGCCTGACATGGCAGCAATTACAGGAGAATTTCTCGTAAAAAAATGGGCATTTTAATTTTCAAGTTAAAAAATATGTAAATTTGGGTCAGAGGTTGAATTGAATATGGGAAGAAAATCATACAAATTCTGGTACTGTTCGCAATTTAGCATAACCATGAGGACGAGCAATTGTGAGAGAGAGAAAACTATCATTCATTATATAAAATAAGGTAGTCATTTTATTTTTTTGTATATGGACCATAATGAATGTAAATTGAATAGATTAAAAATAAAGAGCAAATCATTCATTTCTCTTTTGAGAGGCAGGCACATTTAGAGTGGATTTGCCAAAAACACCTGATCAGCAAGGCCAAGACACTTTAATTCATCAATGCCCACTTAATATTTCATTTTCCCTTTTCAATTACATTCATTTTTCTCTTTTATTTGGGGTTTTCCAATTATTCTGCCCTTTGTCCTACCTAGCCGCATTCCGCTTCCACATACCTCACCGCAGCTTTACACCCTTCTGCCGAGAAGCATTCACCATCAACCAAGGCTCCGCGACACTTCCAATATCGCCTTGCAGGCAACACCAGCACAGTCGATGTCTTCATTGAACCGACGTTTCGAATGTTGCATCTTTCCAATTGATTCATTCCAAGTCGGCTATTCTGTCCATTGAAAAAAAAAAAACAGTGTAGCCTTAATAGACTGTTGGGACAAGTGCTGTTAGCGAGCACCTATTAAGGCCAGCACAGCACACGAGGGGGTGGGTAGCCAGAACCACGCCCGACCGTCTATATCTCCCCAGTGGGGATGTTTACACACCACACAAGATACTCATGAGGCTGAGTCGACCTAGAGGAGGCCCAGGAACAGTTCAGATATTAGTCACTGGTGTTGGCCATGAGCGGGAATCGAACTGGGGTCGCCGGGTTCGTAGCGCAGCGCGCTAACCGCTGCACAACTGCACTACCACTATTCTGACCACTGCCTTATCTTGCCATCAAAACGAACCGCTTAGTCACGCAGTCTCAGAGGCATCGATATTCCCCACCCTCCAGCATCTCCTGCCAACTCCATCTTCATCTCCTTCCCCACCCCTCCGTTCTGTTTGAAGCCGACGTTAGGTCAGCGTTGGATAAAAACTGGCACAGCTCAAACCTCGATCCACTCCGTGCTGATGCCATCCACGTGAAGGGATGAGTGGATGGGCTCACCGCCGACCGGACGCGTTAAAGAGCGGCCTGCACGATAGCAAACGAGCCGATTCTTGCATCACACACCTCCTACATCCAACTTCTCGCCCAGACTGCCTCAGAAAGTCTACACGCTCATTGTATGGATGTTGAACTTTTCGCACTGTACGTAGCTAACCGTGCTTATCGTAGGGGGTTAAAGTGGGGGGGGGGGGGGGGAAGTCTTCATCCTGGTTATGCCTCCAGATTTGAGAGGCTCTCTCCTGCCTTGCAGCAGTGGCTCTGGGCCCGTAATCTTTCCGCGATAGCTTCCAAATCCGAAGCCCGATCCTGATCGGCGACAGCGTCTCACCTCCTCGCTCCCTTTGGGAAATTTAAAATCGCTGGTTCCTCTGTCCAATTCTCGACAACATCAAGTTCCTCGGCACCACTCTCGACTCCACAGCAACTCCGTCTTTGTTCCATCTGCAGTGACACGTCTATAACAACCATCTCGCCACGCATCCTCCTTGACACCCGTCATCCTCGGCTAGATTCCCTCGCCTTCAACTCCCTCCACAAGTTTCCCATGGACAGCAGGGTCGGCTACAAGATCCCTTGCCTGTGCCACCACGCCTCTACCTGTGAATCATCCACCATATCTTTAGTCGCTCCCTCCAGCCTGCACGACAGCTCACGGTGGAACCCTCCACAGGCAACCGACTCACGACCTCCTCCCTCCCACCTCTCTACACCAAGGAGCAGGGCCGCCACTGCCCGGCGTCTTTTTCTCCGTGGCAGCCCCCGTGTCGCGCTCAGCTCCTCCCACCTTACACGACAGCTCATCGTGGAATGCTCCACAGCAGAATGACTCACCGCCCCGGCCTCCCCATTCCCCCCCAACCCCCGCACCCTCCCTCTAAAAGCGGGGCAGGGCAGGAATATATTTTCCAGAGTTCAGCCCCAGAAAGCTCTGGCTGAAATGAAAAGCCCTGGTGACAATTCAGAGTTGCGAGGTAATTCAAGAAGCGATTGTAATTGTTATTGTTTTGTTTACATTGTGGTGAATGTAGTGTATGTACGCATGTATGTTGAACTTCTTTCGCACCGGACGCAGCCAACCATGCAAATCGGAGGTGTGGGAAAAGGAAAACAAACTAAAGACAAAAAGCAGTTCGAAATGAATTAATTTTCAATCAAAAAATTTCAATCTCGAAAGTAGCAACTAGCAGCTGCAGGGAATCTCATCAATCTCTGACATGAACCTAAAAATAAAAAAACCACACATTCGCTCCACTTCAAGTTTGATCACATCAATCACCAGCAGCATGTAATTCCTAATCTAGGGTGGGTTGACGATTCTTTGATCTCCATCTACATCTCTTGCTATCTCTCCCTTGTTTCAATCAAACCTCCAGACACTCCCTTTCTTGTCTCGCATAAAATCGATCTTAACCAGGAATGCACAACTCTGCCAATCCCTCGTCTCATTAAATGACGAATAAAACAAAATCATCCTCAGGCAGCCACGATCGATCCACCGGTGGATTAAAATCTCTGGAAAGCTGCCGCTGAATCAACCCACGACTCGCCAACGTAGAAACCCACCTGGGCGCACCCCCCTGCCACCCGAGCTTATTTCATCGCTCCCATCTCATCTGTCGACATTATCTCGGACACGACCACAATATGCCAACACGAAGCGGGTGCGGCGAGATTTCTCAGAACACTCGCCCGAGAACGGCCCCGCGACGACTCCGTCGGGCGCGCCGCGCCATGCTGCACTACCGCTCTGCAGCGCGCGTTCGTACCTGTGCACCCACACCGGTAAACTCTGGCTCCCGCGAGATGTCTGCTCAGCATCGGCAATATGGGAATTACTCCCCAGAGCCAAAAGGCCACCTCTGCCGGTGGATTGTTTCAACCCAATTTGTGAGCCTCCTTTTGAAAGCCGAGGCCTGGATCAGAGTGCGAAGTCATTAAAGGCTGAGAGCCAGATCATGCCACTGTGAAATTACACTACCTGGGCTCTGTTGAGCCTGCTTGACATGGTCACATTTTCTTTCATCCGTCCCTTCCCAACAATAAATGGATTGCGTTTCCAAGGGAATGTCCACGGAGGAGATGGAGTGCTGAAATTCAGCTCGTGTGGATTATTAGGATAGTGAGCAGTGGGCGATGGCTTGGGCAGGTCATTATACAGCGGTGGTTTCATCATGGCTGACGATGTTTACGATAACTCCGTGTGGCTTTAATATAGTCAACTTAATTATTTGAGATAATGGAGAGGGAGGGTGGAAGAGACAGATAACCCAGATAAAAAAAAATACAAATAATGTAAAAACACGTGCATATTAGATCATACACGCGTGGTTGTTGTTTATCTACAGAGAATGGGGGGAGGTGGTGAGGATGGAGAATGCGTCATCAGTTTTTAATGCCGCTTAAAAATGTACCGGTTCCTTGCCGACGCGTTTGTGTTCCCATGGGCACTGAGTCACCGTCCCTCGATGTGCGAAAAATTTGTTTTCCCAAAATTACAACAAAAAACTTTTCATAAACACAGTTAATCTGCAACCCAGATCATCCTCCCAGGGATTACAATCAAGAGTTAGCGCTGGGTACAGTATAGTTTATCGGAGGATGTTATTTGACAAAGAGGACTTACAGATCGAAGAGCAGGTAATGGAATCCTTCTTCCGAGATGCTGTCATGTAGACGCACTGTGGAAAGGGTGGGGGTGGAGAAAAGATGATGAATGTGAATATAATGAGCTCATGAAAAAATATATTTTCATTTAAATTTAAGTTTGATTGGCACTCAACAAAGACAAAGATCCCCTGTGTAGCCTTAACAGACTATTGGAGAAAGTCCTGTGAGTGAGCACCTATGACGGCTGGCATAACACACGAGGAGGTGGGTGGCCAGCACCACGCCCGGCCACCTTTGTCTCCCGAGTGGTGATGTTTACACACCGCACCAGGCGAGTCGACATAGGGGAGACCGAGGACCGTTTCAGATAATTGGTGACTGGTGGTGGCCATGAGCGGGAATCTAATCCGGATCACCGGGATCATAGTGCAGTGTGCTATCGCCTCCCCACACAACACAAAGACAAATATCCCCCGTGTAGCTTTAACAGACTGTTGGGGCAAGTGCTGTAAGCAAGGACCGATGAAGGCCCCACAACACGCACACAGGCACACAAGCAAATGCAAAGACAAGAAGAGCACTCTCCTAGCTTGTCATTACAGAACGCCAGAGCAAGTGTGCTCAGCTGTTGTATATTGATATTAGCACAGCGATAGAGCCGAGGGTGTTTGTGTGTGGCCGAAACACCACACATGCCCAGCCAACGTTGTCTTCTCAGCACCGACACGAGGCCACACCACACCAGGTACAGCTTAGTTTTAATCAGAGTCGACCGAGATATCTAGATATTATTAGAAGCCACCAATGTGCAGGTCGAGGTATTACCGAGATGAAACGCATTCACAATGGGTTTTTTACATGCATGTGCAGGCCATTTTGTCAATCCACTGCTGGATGAGGGCCTCCCCACTCAGTGCTGGTTTTGGGGATTATTTGACGATCCTTGCACCACTATGGTCAGTGCAGGGTTATAAAGATATGGGGGGTGGGGGGTGCACAGACGTGGGAACATAGAATTACAATAGGATTGCAAATCGCATGTTTGGGATGGCGACAAGCGGTTTAATAACTGAATGCGCCCGCAGATTATTGCCAAGTGTGGAACAGCAAACGACAATTGAACGACAAGGCCGCATTTTCCCTGCCGGCAATCGGTCGAAAGGATAAAATTGTTCAAGGGCATCTGAGGCTGCGGACATCCACCACCAAAAGGTGCAAATGTTTCCCTTTGTAAGAACATCCATTCTCACAATTATCTGGGTTATTGACTTTGGCCATGAAAAATCACTTCCCACATTGTCAGGCCATCGAGGGGGCATTATCGCACTGGGCTGCCAGTTCAGCATCAATTGGGAATCCTTCCCCGTGCACACATTCACCCCCTATCCCCCACCTGTGTTCACCCCCCCACCCCCACCTGTGTCCACCACATTCATCTTCACAGCGAGCGCGATGCATCCAAGCTCTGTAAATTATCCTGTGTGCCAAAACCTGCTCCCTGCGTTTATCTCTCCCCGTGGCTTTTCGGGGTCGGGTCGTGCCACCGTGCGTTGATTCGGCACGACGTCCGACGTTTCGCTCCACGTGCTGGGACCTTCTTCAAGAGCCGAATTGAGCAGCGAAGAAACGGCTCGCGGCACGTGGAGCGAAACGTCATGGCCGGGGGGGGGGGGGCACGCAAAGAAAACACGCTCGGTGGTGCAACAACGAAATCGCATCGGTGGGCCGCACAACCACGAAAAAGCCAAGACGATAGCTGCTCCTGCTCTCGTCGCCATGGTCACAAGCGTCAACAATTTATACAATTTATCTGGGTGGTGGTGGCTTTGCACGTGGTTGCCTGCAATCTAGCATTTCTTCTTTCGCACGGCTGATGTAGATGCAGAGCAACGACTAGAATGTCACATTCAGGTGGTCAAGCCAGACAATCGCGTTGCAGAAGTGGCGGAGTTGCATCGCTGCGACGTCGCCTTCGTATTTGTGGATCGGACATTGCGTCATTACACGTCGTGTGGTCTTGTTCTGGATGACCGCGGTCGCACACCGAAGAGTTTTTATTTTTTCCCATTCGTGCATCAGGTATCAGAATCTGCCACGGATGTTGCGAGACTCCCCCCTTCCCGTGGGCATCGAGGCGCCATACTCTGGCCCGCCACGGGAACGCAGTGCAGCAAAGTGTGGACTAATGACATCTGTCCTTTCTGTATGGGCTAGAGTGTTGCCCCTTCGCATGCCTGGGTAAACACTCTTTGAGAGCGAGTAAATCACGTGCACGTCATAAGCTTACATCATTTGTTTGTTTTAACCGAGAAGAGAGACGTCCCAAGGAGGCAGCAACGGTTAGCACGATAGGCAACGTACAGTGCGAAAGAAGTTCAACACACATACATATATAAATTGACTTTGGGCTTTAGGAAACAATTTTTACAATGTCTCCACTGGAAATACACACCGTTCTCCGCGTGTAATTATATTGTGTAAATGACCCAGTAAATTACAGGTCGTGATTAATAGCAGCTATGCCACTGCAGCTCGGCCTGGCGCGTTAAACACTTGAGCTGGCGTGAGTGTGTGTGTACGTGTGTGTACACGTGTGTGTACACGTGTGTGCGTGTGTGCGCGTGTGTGTGTGTACGTGTGTGTGTGTGCACGTGTGTGTGTGTGTACGTGTGTGTGTGTGTGTTACGAGTATCTGAACCGGTCCCGGGCCTCCCCTAGGTCGACTCAGCCTCAAATGAGTACCTGGTGCGGTGTGTAAACATTGCCACTGGGGAGACAAAGGCGGTCGGGCGTGGTGCTGGCCACTCACCCCCTCGTGTACCGTTCCGGCCTTCATAGGTGCTCGCTAACAGCACTTGCCCCAACAGTCTGTTAAGGCTATATGGGGGATCTTTGTCTTTGTCTTTGTGTGCGTGTGTACGTGTGTACGTGTGTGTGTGCGTGTGTGTGTGCGTGTGTGTACGTGTGTGTACGTGTGTGTGTGTACGTGTGTGTGTGTGTGTGTGCGTGTGTGTGTGTACGTGTGTGTGTGTACGTGTGTGTGTGTACGTGTGTGTACGTGTGTGTGTACGTGTGTGTGTACGTGTGTGTGTATGTACGTGTGTGTGTACGTGTGCGTGTGTGCACGTGTGTGTGTGTACGTGTGTGTACGTGTGTGTGTGCGTGTGTGTACGTGTGTGTGCGTCGGGGGAGCTGTAGTGTAGCGGTTACCGCGCCGCGCTCCAAACCCCGGCGTCCCAAGTTCGATTCCTGCTCACGGCCAACACCGGTGATGATTATCTGTACCGACCCTGGGTCTTCCCTAGGGCGACTCAGCCTCAAATGAGTACCTAGTGCGGTGTAAACATCACTACTAGGGAGACAAAGGCGGCCGGGCGTCGTGCTGGCCACCCACCCCATCGTGTGCCATTCCGGCCTTCATCGGTGTTCGCTAACAGCACTTGCCCTGTTAAGGATATATGGGGGATCTTTGTTCATGTAAATGGTAACACTGCGATTTGCAAAATGCATGACGGTCGCAGAGACCCAGGTTTAATTCTCGGTGACGTTCTAAAATCAATGGCGAGCAATATCTGAATCTGTGCTGGGTCTCCAACGTAGGTCAACTCGGGTCTTGAACAATCACCCGCTGCGGTGGGTAAACGTCGACACGAGAGAAACATCGGGGCAAGAAGGCGTGCGCCATTGCAATAGGCGCTCACTAACAGCACTTGCCGCAACAGGCTATAAGGCTATAACGCATTGAATCTTTACCCGTGCGCGTGTGGAAATGATGGCACAGTGGTACAATCACGGAGACCCGAGTTTAATTTCCAGCCAAGTGAGAATTCAAACCTGTCTTGGTCCTCATGTGTTGGTCAACTCGGCCTGAAAATGTGCTCCTGGTGCATTGTGCAAACACCGGGAAAGACAAAGGTGGGCAGCGTGTGACGTTGGCCACACCACCTCTTGCAAACCGACCAAGCCCTAAACAAAGAGAGGCACTCGCGAATGGCACTTGCCCCATTTGATGCTCCCTTTCTCGGATGGCAATTTTTTGTGTGCAAATGCCGCATGCAAATGCCGCATGCAGCAGCAGCAACGATGGGGATCTTCTTCCTCTGTGCAAGCAGCACTGCAATTGTGCAACTGTGCCGCACTGTACCACAGCGTGGTGGGCCAGATGCCCTCTCAACCGCGGCGGCGGCGGCGGTGCGAACCAAAACGCAGCCCGGATTTGATTTTTTTAATCCGCAGAAGCCGGCGCAAAACCGCCACGTTCGCCTTGAGACTACATTCTTTCGGAGAAACTTGGGCGGCCGGGGGATACAATCGCTGCGGTGCATCGTGGGGCTCTTTGCGAGTTTGCCGGAACGGAACGGAGTCTCAAGGCGAACACGCAGTAGTCGTTAGCAGCAGGATTGGGCAAAGCACATTCCGATGGAGTAGGCTCCTTCCCAAAAAATAAAATAACTCGAGACTTCCGAGGCAGACTCTCTCTGGCTACAGGAAGATGTGTGTATCGATGCCTTAGTGATTGTGAAGAATTGCCCCCGCCCCCCGCCACACACAAAGGCACATGAAGTGCGAAACACATTTATTTTGACATTTGCATTGCTGGGTGCAAACATTTGTGGCGCGTCTCTACTCTGTGCTTAATTTCAGCCGCAACAGTCTGGACTCATATTGGCAACAACACATGTATCCCATCTGAACTGGTCTTAAACCTATTCATAGGACTATAGAAATTTAGGGTATAGTATAGGATTACTATGTATAGGGTGCAATGGCGGTGATATATTACCGTAACTACCTCGCCTCGTATGCAAGAGGTCGTGGGTTTGATCCCGACGACTCTATATTTGGAGTTTGCATGTTGTGCCCGTGGTCACGTGGATTTTTTTCTCCGGATCCTCCGGTTTCTCCCTCCACATTTAGAAACAAGCATTTAAATTATTTGGCTGCTATACATCTACATGGTATAAGCCACTTAATTGAGCTATCTAACTCGATTCTGAAAACGAGCTACAGTATATCGTTCAGTGGGCCCTACCATGTAAAATATAAAGTTTAGTTTAGTTTGAGTGTACCT